TGAGAGTTTTTCCTCAGTGAAGAGTGCAGGATTGGGCCCCAAACTTCCTGCCCCTGGGAAATATATATATCTCCACTCCTAGCACATTTTTATCATTTTCCTTATTGAGGTAAAGAAAACATTTAGCTTCTCAGCAACATCTGTCATGTTTTCCCAATAGTGTCACAAGGGGCCTGAAGTCTCTCTCACTGACCTCTTGTTCTTTAAATACTTGGGAACTTTTTTCTTGTTTATTTTTGTGTCTTTTACAATTTTTCACTTCTGTCTTTGGTATCCCGATGATTCTTACATTGCTTTTACTTTAAATATATTGTGTATTTTCTCAATAGCGATCACATTATTGATTTGATTTTTTTTAGCTTATACTCCTTTGCAATTTGGGTCTTAGATATGGGTCTAAGTGCTTAGGTCACACAGAAAGTCTGTAGGAACACAGGGAAATCTCCTGAATCCACATCCTCACTATTTTACACTGGATGACTGAATAAAATATATTTGTTTTCAGTACCCTACATTTTCTTCCAACACCTCAAAGAAAAGCCCCTGTTCCTTCTCCAGGTAATGCAGCAGCTATTTTTTTCTGCAAAATACTGTTGTATAATTAGTATTTATTTTAAGAATGTAACACCCTTTTAATACCTAGATTGTAAGTATAATATGCATATTACAGTTAACTGTTTAATTTCTACCAAAATACATATTCTTATTGCACTACTGGTGTACACAGACTTGTTCAGTTGGTGAACTGTGGCAATCAAGTAACTGGTTCCCAGCCCCAAAGGGCTTACATTGAGTCACAACCTGATATTATACAGAATACTAAATACAGAACAGAATAGCAGGCAGTATTGTAGTTGAAGAATAAATGAGCTTTAAGGATATCTTTTTAGCTAGATCTTTCAAATTATAATGTTAAAGAATACTTTCTAATTAACCTTTTAAGCTCACATCTTTAGGTAAAGAAAGAATTGTAAATTGAATATATTCCTCCATTTGGTTCTACTAAGTGCATATTTTTCTAACCTTTCATTAGTTTCCAGTAGAAAGTAGCCTGGAGAGCTATTTGACCTCTTTATGTGCCTGAGAATTCCTATCTGAATGTCCTGGTGACAAAGTGAAGCAGCAGCCTTCAAAGGTTTACAAGATCCCAGCCTATCATGTAACTGGGTGGGGTATATAAGGAAAAGAAAGCTAAGCAGAAGGGTGTGTTTTCTCTTTTTTTTTTTTTTTTTTGGCAGGTGGAGGGAGGCTGTGCCTCTGGGGCGTATAGTCAGCATTTGTCAGAGTTTCTCTTTGTTGCAGTTAACTGAAGTACCTATGCTCCAGTTGCCTGGCTCAAGTGAGAATAGCTACATTGCAAAATAATACACAAGCTGTTGTGTTCACACTGGTGCTGCACCCCCTTGTGTGTGCTGCTAGTGTTTCTGGGGGGTTGTCCCATGGTTCTTTGCACTGCAGTAAGCGGAGCCACTTTATGAATTCTTTCCCAGGAAATTGTGGGAGAATGTCTGTCCTTTCTGGGCAGATGGTAGGAATTGTGGGAAGGAATTGGAGGCCTAGAGGCACTAGAGTGAAGTTAGCTTGTGTCCACATTGCAGAGTGGTCATGTTAGCCACTGATGAGCTGTGATAACTTGAGCTTTAGATTAAACATCCTCCAGTTCAGAGTTTGTCTGTGTGTGTGGATGGGACTCAAATTAGGGGCAACACTCAAGTTAACTTTGCAGTGAAGACAATCCCTTAATTGTGTTGTTTTATTATGGTGCTGTTTAAGCCCTTTGTTTCAAACAATAAATCATGCCCTGGGACAAAGGCTTTAAAAAGACTTGGGCATGGTATTTGCATCCCTTCTCTGGCTGGTGAAACTGCCCACCAATATACAGTTCTGTTAGTTCTGGACACTGGATGCTCTATTCACATGGGTCATATGGGGTTTACCAAAGGAATTAACTTCAGTAAGAGACTGCTTGGCAGTAGCTTGCTTCTTATCTACAACTCCGAGGGGGCATTTAAGGAAGCTAAGAAGCTCCCACATCTTCAGTATGTCTTCCCTGAGGGAGGCTGTGGGATTCCTTAGTCCTGAGTTGTGATATTTACGAAGAAGCCCAATAGTGGTGGTCAATTTCCTTTAGCCTATGTCTACACTGCAACTTGGAGCACGCCTCCCAGCCCAAGTAGATAGACTTGTGCTAGCAGTGCTCAAGTCAGCATGCTAAAAATATCAGCAGGGCAGCACTGAGGGAGGCTACTGAGAGCTATAGTCACCCCAAAATTTTCATTAACCCCTCCATAGCCACCCCGTAGCAGCTGCTGTTCTGCAGCTGCCCAACTCTGAAGGCAGAGCAGAGAGAGTGGCAGCTGCTGGCTGGGCGCACACCTCCAGCAGCAACGGAGAAGTATGCCCGGGCGGGAGGCTGGGGTCCCTGAGAGCAGCCCTCAGTCTGTGTCCCCGCCTGCCAGGGTGCATTGCCCAGGGTCCAGGACTCCCCACAGTGGCGTGGACTGACCCACTCTGGCCCAGGCTACTGGGCCCTCTCCCCATGGTCGCTGATTCCCAAGGGCTCTGCTGGCCCTGAACCTGGGTCCCCCTACCCAGGCAGGTCTTACCAGCTGTGAGCAGCCAGCACCCTGCACTGCCTCACTCCAGCTTCCAGCCTCTGACCTGGGCAGGGGGAAGGGCCATGAAGGGGGTGGGGCCATGGAGGGGGTGAAGTCTCATGGTGGGGGGAGCACAGCCCCCCCTGAATTTTCTGTCTGGCCCATCTCAGCCCCACCCCCCCACCCCCGGGAAGAGGCTGGTGCCACCCCTGAATATCTGAGTGGATGTTGTGACTCCAGTTGCAGCTTGTTCCCTGTAGGCTTGAGAGCCCAAGCCCCAAGGTTCATACTGCTATTTTGAATGGGCTAGCTCAAGCCAAGCCCCACTAGTGCAAGTCAGTCTACATGGGGGCGGGGGAGAGGCTCGCTCTCAGGTGCAGTGTAGACATACCCTGCAGTGATCTTAGCAGGGTGACCAGAGGGCAAGTGTTAAAAATCGGGACATGGTGTGAGGGGTATTGGGTGCCTATATAAGAAAAAGCCCCCAAAATCGGAACTGTCCCTATAAAATCGGGACATCTGGTCACCCTAGAACTTAGGCATGTCTGTGACTGACTCAGTTCTTAATAAGACAAAGTCTAGGAAGGAAGCAAAACTTGGAGACAGCAGGAGCGATCGGAATTTTTTTCTTCTCACCCACTTTCCTGCTGTGCCAATCAATTAATAAGAGAAGTATGTTTAGGGAAATCCTGATCTTCCTGTCTGCAAGAACACAAGTATTAAAGGAAATGATTCTGGAGCAATGCCAATGGTAAGTGAGCAAGAACCATTCAATTAAATAAAATCAATCCTACAAAAATCTTATTTGTAGAGAGACTCAACTGCACTCCTCATTGTTCCATTTTCCCAAATATCAAATCTGACATCCAGTTTATAGATGCAACCTATTTATAGATATTTTTATGGTGCTCATCACCATGGGGAGTGCCTCAATGCTTATCTAAACATATTCCCGAGAGTTGAAAATCTGATTCTGTGGTGATATGCAACACAACATTGCTTGGAAATTAAACAATTCACCATTTTAAAGGGAAAAACTGATTCCCGCCCCCTCCAATTATTTCCAAATCTGATATATGTGTCTTTTAAACAACTCATTCTCCTACCATACTTGGGTCAATATGGATTAAGATTGCTAATGTTTTAAATTATCTTGGTTCACCTCCTTTGTTTCCTATTAATAACATTTCCGCTTTTTTGCCAAAGCAGGGAGGGATTGGCTAGATTAAGCAGCTTCCCTCTAAGAATGCTAGCTTTTGTGGATTGCTTTCCTATCTCTCCCCATTCATTGCATAGGGAACCTGAGCAACTAACTCAGGTTCTGTGTATTGCAGTGTTGTTTCTGTGATTTTTTAGGTGTCTAAAAGGTGCCATTATGTTCAGTGTTGCAATGACTAAGTCCCTTTGTGGATCAAGGTCAAATTGTTTAGACACATGGTGGTACATATGCCATCAAATCTAGTTTATACATTATATGCAAACTCTAGAAAGAAATTGACATGTATGCTTACACTCACTCCATACACATACATGCTGGCTCAGAGCCTGATCCCATTGAAAAATATTGGTTACATGGCAAATCCCCCACTGACTTCAAAGGGACCTGAATTTGTGCTACTGTATACACATACTGTGCACATTTGAATGGTACACACACATCTACACATCCTGTTCAACAACACTGCATCATTTTATGTTTTAGACATGTCTGTCCCAGCATATTAGAGAGATACGCTAGGGGCTGTAATATCTTTTACTGGATCAACAACAGAATAACAGAAGTTGGTCCAATAAAATATATTACCTCCCCCACCTGGTCTGAAACAAAAGTAAACACACATTCCATTGTGCGCACACAGTCACATACATCCAATTCCCCTTACAGTTAAACATGTCCTAATATACACAAGGCCAAATACACACAATTTGTTACACTTGTGTGATTGTGTGTGTATTGGGGTATGTACAGTTTTAAACACACAATTATACACACTTGTAAACACACATACTTCCTGATACACAATAAATTGACTATATACCCATCTTATCACACACGTAATTAACACTCCCTAGTCCATACAGACACACACACATACATTGCCGTTACCCACAGTTACTTGCACAAACATCTTGTTACAGACAGTTACAACACACAACTATCCTGCTGTACACACACACTCACACACACCCTTTGTTGCATACACACACGTCACAGACACATCCTGGGAAACCACAGGCTGAAACCCTCCCCCCCTGTCACAATCACAGTCTCCGGCCCGGCTTTTCCAGCATTGCTCAGCCTGGGCTGGAGAAACAGACAACTCATCCCGACGCGCAGGGCCAGGAAGGGCCCCGCCTCTCCCCAGACACCGCCGCGCCTCCGTGCATTGTCCCACGGCAGCAGCACGGTGGCGGTGGGAACAGCCAGCCCAGCAGCAGCAGCACCAGGCGGAGAAGGCAGCGGGGACGGGAACGCAGGGAGACCAGAGCCCCCAGCCGGTACCGACCCGAGAGGCACCGCAGCAGCAGCAGCCGCATCCCTCACCTGCCGCAGGTGAGCGACCCTTCTCCTGCCCTTCTCCACACGGCGCAGGCTGCGAGAGGGGGCCAGGCAGAGCCGCTGCAGCAGCGCTGGGGCGGGGCTACGTGCCCTTCCCGGGGCCAGAAGGACGGGAGGAGCCCGAGCGGCGGCGGGGCTGGGCGATGCCAGGAAGGGGCACTGAGGGCACAGAGCAAGGTGCTTACGGCGCTAGGTTTCCTGGAACCGGAGCGAGGGAGGAGTGTAAAGTATCCGTGCCGTTGCTAAGGGCATGCTGCTAGCACACTTCCTGCCGCTCCCTAGTAGCGGAGCTTGGTCCAGCAGCAGCAGCAGCAGCACCCATCTCTTCCCTCCTCTGCCAGAGACCTGACTCCCCTGTTTCGTTTCCAGCTTGAAAACCAGTGCAACAGCTTGTGCCATTCAAATACTATTGAGAGCGACTGGAATTGGGCAGCCGCTGGAGTTCAGCTTCTCCTTCCCAGCAAGGTAGGTTACAGCTGATGCAACTGAAGCCAAGCAATGCCCTCCTTTAACTGTGCAGAGAGATGCGTAGTGTGTCGATTGCTATTGTGCCCAATATACGCATTTCTAGTTAAAATTCCAGTACTGGAAGCCCTTTGTGGGAACTGGGATTTCATTTATTTGTCTTTCTTGACTATAACAGCATTTAAAAGAGAACTGGATAAATTCATGGAGGTTAAGTCCATTAATGGCTATTAGCCACGATGGGTAAGGAATGGTGTCCCTAGACTCTGTTTGTCAGAGGGTGGAGATGGATGGCAGAAGAGAGATCACTTGATCATTACCTGTTAGGTTCACTCCCTCTGGGGCACCTGGCATTGGTCACTGTCGGTAGACAGTATACTGGGCTAGATGGACCTTTGGTCTGACCCAGTATGGCCGTTCTTATGTTCCTCGCCTTGCTGATGAGGAAATGAATCTTAAAACCAACAGCATTGTACTGTTCTTTTATGAAATGCCAGAATTTTTGCTGGTACTGGTAGAGAGCTTTATGGGGTCAGATGTTTGGCCCGGGAGGTAGTTTTTCTTTGGAGCAAAGTACACCCATGTTTCACAATTAGACTAACAGATCAGCTACAGGTTCCTCCTTATACACGTGAAGAAACCCATACTGAACTGTCATTATATGAGTGATATATAAGTATGCATACAATATGAAGGGAAAGCCTTCTGCAGAAGTGCTATATAATGGAAGCAATCACTTAAGGATGAGGAAAAATATGCTCATACTGCAAATTGAGGGCCTAACCAACTCCTGTTAATGTCAGCAGGAGTCATTCCAATGAGTTTAATAGGAGATGGATCAGAACCTGAGTATTAGCTCCTACTTTAAAAAAATACTAGTAAGACATTAATCAAAGAAAGCCACAGTAAAAATTATGGGCTTTGCATAGTTGTAAAATAGTAATCATCAGATCTGAACACTGATTAAAATAGGGAATCTACTTCTAGGTTTGAAATTTGCACCTGTTTTGTACTATATACTGTGTACCTTCTTCAGAAAACAATAATTTCTTAACACCTATCTAACATCACTGGTATCATAGAAAAGGAAGATTGTTAAAATAGTTTCCATGGCTATCATAAATGAAATTTTTCTTTTAAGTAATGTTTTCTATTTTAGTAGATTTTATTAATCTATGTATCTAGCGATCTATAACACACTAGCGTATTGAAGTGAATATTGATTCCTTAGTAAAGAGGATTAAAGCTCCAAAATTAAAAGTCCTGAAAATAATTTAAATAGTTGAAAATTTACTTCAAAAATCATTTAATCATTCATCAGTTTAGGCACTAAACAGGATGTGAAAGACTCCTTCTCCATCTGGGATCAAATGCAGCCTGTATATTAGTTATACAATTATACATTCTTATTATTGGAAATAATATAATTCCAGTTCTCTCACATACTTGGATCAATAATTGCCTAAGAATTGTAGCATGATTTTATGCAAACATTAACCCATTTAACAATTATGTTCGACCTCTATTAAGTACTTGTAATGATGCCTGACTATAATCACAGAGGCAAGTCCATGGAGTTGGACCAGTGTAACTGGTGATGAAATTTGACCCAGTACTTTTATAGTTTACTGCAATGTCTCTATACATTTAATATAGTTTCTTTTGATAAAGCTGATTACCCTAAATAAAGGAAAAACCCTTCCTGTAAGCATCAGCACATTTCCAATACTCAGTAACTTGTTATGAGCGGGGTGAAACCTGTTATAAGTTGAGTTAAAACCCCAGTTAACATAACTGTGAGCATAAGCCCCCACCTAAAACAACCTGCCCTATGTGAACCTGCACAGGAACTTTTGTCTGAATATTATTATGGGTAGGTTGTGTGTGTGTGTGTAGAGAGAGATCACACACAAACTGAGGACAGAGGGGCGTCTGTGTGTGTGTGTGTGTGTGGGTAGAGATCACATACAAACTGAGGACAGAGAGAGGGAGAGGCAAGAAAGCCAATTAGGAGCTCCGAGCCTCTAATCACAGTGTGACCCTGGAAAAAAGCTAGAGAGAGCACTTTTGGGTCTGGTGTTGGCTCACGACGCGTGGGGATGGAGACTAAGGCTTTGTCTACACTAGTACTTTTGTTGGCAAAGCTTTTATCGGTCAGGGGTGCAAAAAGAACACCCCCCCCCCAACTGAAAGTTTCACTGACAAAAGCACCCGTGTGGGCAGTGTTATGTCAGCAGGAGATGCTCTGCCGCCGACACAGCTACACCACTCATTGGGGGGCGGTTTGATTATGTTGACAGGAGAGCTCTCTCCCACCAGCATAAAGCAGTTACTCAGGAGACCTTACAGCGGCACAGCTGCAGCGGTACATCTGTGTCATTGTAAGGTCCATAGTGTAGGTCCACACTACCCGCCCGATTCGGTGGGTAGAGATCGATCTTCTGGGATCGATTTATCGCGTCTCATCTGGATGTGATAAATCGATCCCAGAAGTGTTCCCCCGTCGACTGCGGAACTCCTGCTCGCCGAGAGGAGGAAGCGCTGTCGACGGGGGAGCTTGCCTGCGCCGCGTGGACCCGCAGTAAGTAAACTTAGTTCGATCTAGGAAACGTCGACTTCAGCTACGCTATTCTCGTAGCTGAAGTTGCATTTCCTAGATCGATCCCCCGCCCCAGTGTGGACCAGCCCTAAGAAATTGCTCCTTTTGTTCTTGGTTCCTTCCATATTCAGAGACACAGGACTTTGCTCATTCCTTGTTAGTAAACAGACTGCATCGAAGAAAAATACTGGACTCCATCAATTTCTACTTCCAGCTGGAACATCCCCAGGCCCCCAAACTTTTCACTAGCCACTGGAGTCAAAAAGGGGCAACACACTTCTCTTTTTCCACATGTAAATATTCAGGCTTTTTTCATCAGATCTTCTCTGTTTCTTTCTCGGAAATAATTTATTTTGTAATTTTGTTGCAAAATCTGACTCTTTCCTTCTATTGCAGTCATTAGGTTGAGTGTTTCTTTAAGGAAGAGATTTGACTCAATAGTGTTCACTTCCCATGTATTTTTTACTTACAGGATTTGGGCTCAGCAATGATGCAGAACTTCCTTTACGACATTTTATAATTTGTCTTAGTCATACAGAATGTGTCAATTCTATTTTGCATAAGAATGACAAAAATGTCTTTGTGTAGTTCAAGTTCTGATGCAGGGATATTTAATCCACTGGCATCAGCTGTAAAACTGTCCATATTAATTTTGGGTAAATGCATATTTAAAAAAAATCTAATGGTCAGATGGTCACATTGTTGAAATTTCACAATTTTTGAAGGGGCTGTATTATGTGTGGAACTTATTATTAATGTTTTTATTTAATTTTTTGGAGTTAAGATTAATGCCTATATAGACTAGATGCAACATCTGTGTTACAGTTAATTAAACTAATTTTAAAATGGGACTACGCAGTGTGTAAAATTAAGCATACGTGTAGATCTTTGGAGGATCAAGGCCTTATTTTGTCACTGAAGTACCATACACTGTTTTCTTCCTTCAGGTCTATCTGTATAGAATGGCACCTGGTGTAACAGCTGAGAAGAAGACTGAGGATGAACAGTCATCAAAGTAAGAACCAAAACTAATTTCAATATCTACTTTGAATTTATATAAACGTACCACTTTTAACTCCTCCCAAATAGCATGTTTTTCATTTCACAACCTAATTTTTTAAATAGTAGAACTCTACAGAACATATGTGGACTGTGGCCAGGTCTAAGCTCAAAACTTTCGCTGCTATTGTAATATCAGTTAGGCATGTGATTTCTTTCCAATATTTTTGTCCTGGGAAAAGCATTAGTGAGGACTCAGTTATACTGGCAAAAAAGTGAGTTGGCAGGTATAGTTTTATTTAGTTCAGACAACAGCACTCTTGTTGTATAATATAAGTTGTGTCTAAATTAGAAGGGTTTGCCAGAATAGCTATACCAGTATACTTATACTGAAAAATCAAGTGTAGACTAGGCCTGTGCATGAAATCCTGGTTCAACTGAAGTCAATGGGAGCTTTACCATTGACTTGAATAGTGCCAGAATTTCATCCCATGTATTTTGGAATTTTGAACAAATATTTCAATCCACTTATCTCATTCTTTCTTTAGATTTATGTTGGTATAAGAAAATGAGTGTCAAAGATTAATGGTTAGCCCTCAGATATTTTTATTTACTTAGCTGGCACCTAAAATGTGGGAGGCACTTTACACAGATACAAGAGGAAAAGTTCTCTGCTCTGAAGAGTTTACTACGTAATGCTTCAATCCTGCAAAAACTTTACTATCATAAACTCATGGTACTGCTTGTTGTAGTAAAGTTAATGATATACATAAGTGTTTGCAAGATTGGAGCCCAAGGCCCTAGGTGTCTGTGGGTGCAGGGGTCCATCTGTATGCATCTGATTACAGGGGTGTGGCCCTATAAGGACAAAATGCAGACAGAGGGAGAGAGGGGAAACAATTTTAAAGCCAATCATGCAGACAATGCTGTTGGAACAGGCCTTGTGAATTTGACAATATTTGTGGATTTTTATATATATACACATACACATACACATACAGGGCCGGCTCCAGGGTTTTGGCCGCCCTAAGCAGCTAAAAAAAAAAAAAAAAAAGCCGCGATCGCAATCTGCGGCGGCAATTCGGTGGGAGGTCCTTCGCTCTGAGCAGGAGTGAGGGACCGGCCGCCGAATTGCCGCCGAATAGCTGGACGTGCCGCCCCCCTCCAGAGTGGCCGCCCCAAGCACCTGCTTGCCAGGCTGGTGCCTGGAGCTGGCCCTGTGTATATATTTATATTAGGGCTGTTGATTAATCACAGTTAACTCACACAAGTAACTCAAAAAAATTAATCGTGATTAATCACAGTTTTAATCCCACTGTTAAACAATAGAATACCAATTGAAATGTATTAACTATTTTGGATGTTTTTCTAGATTTTCATATATATTCTATTCTGTGTTGTAATTGAAATCAAAGTGTATATTATTTTTTATTACAAATATTTGCACTGTAAAAATTATAAATAAAAGAAATAGTATTTTTCAAAAATATTTAAATAAATTGAATTCTATTATTGTTTAACAGTGTGATTAATCGCGTGTTTTTTTTTAAATGAGAGATTAATCAATTAATTTTTTTAATAGCTTGACAGCCCTAATATTAATCCTGTGATTAAAACCATTAATCGCAGGATTAATCGTACTGTTAATAATAGAATGCCATTTATTTTTGGATATTTTCTACATTTTCAAATATATTGATTTCAATTACAACACATGACGAAGGGGCATACAAATGTTTAGCATATCTGGCACGTAAATACTTTGCAATGCTGGCTACAAAAGTGCCATCTAAATGCCTGTTCTCACTTTCTGGTGACATTGAAAATAAGAAGAGGGCAACATTATTGCCTGTAAATGTAAACAAACTTGTTTGTCTCAGCGATTGTCTGAACAAGAAGTAGGACTGAGTGGACTTGTAGGCTCTGAAGATTTACATTTTTTTTTTTACATAACTGCACTCAAAAACAAAACAATCTACATTTGCAAGTTGCACTTTCACGACAAAGAGCTTGCACTACAGTACTTGTATGAGGTGAATTGAAAAATACTATTTCTTTTGTTTATCATTTTTACAGTGCAAATATTTATAATCAAAAATAATATACACATTTTGATTTCAATTACAAGACAGAATACAATATATATGCAAATGTAGAAAAACATCCAAAATATTTAATACATTTCAATTGGTATTCTATTGTTTAACAGTGCTATTAAAACTGCAATTAATTGTGATAAATTTTTTTAATCACGATTAATTTTTTTGAGTTAATCACGTGAGTTAACTGCGATTAATCGACAGCCCTAATATATATAGATAGATAGATAGATACAGAGAGAGAGAGAGAGAGAGATTTTAGTGTATTACAGTTTACTTCATTATGTCTTGGGTTGCGCTTTTATCACAAAAGGGCTGGTATCCAAATAAAAAGAAAGTGTTTTCTGCATGTGCAAAAACAAACTGTTGAATGATTCTAAAACACATCCTATTTGAATCTTGTAGTGACTCCAGCAAATATCACGATAGTCAAGTAATTGCTCTGTATCATTGGTACAAAGAGGTTAAGTCCCACATAATCTGGCAGAAATAGTTCTGAATGATACTGTGGAGTATTGGTCTGGGGACACTGATTGTCCAAAGCCACAATCTGCAGGGCCAGCTGGGCCTTTCTGATGATGTCATAGCTGTTCATCAGCACTCTCTATGGCATGGCTGTGACCTCATCATCCCTACACCAAGTTTGTTAAATAGGGGGAGGGATAAGTAGGGGAACAAAGGTAACCCAAGTACTCTCTGGGGACAGTTAGGACCAGTGAGATGTTGGGAGAGGGCATTGCTAAACTGCCCAAAATGCCAATCTGCTTTTTCAGCCATATTCTCTTGTTAAAGCCAACTGTTGCTTAATGAACATTTAGTGAATTGATTTTGAAAGGGCGATTTGTCACATTGTGTGGGATGGGTCAGTTTAAAACAGTGGTGTAGAAGTAAAAAAAGAAGTAGGTAAGCTAACCTAAACTAAACTCCATATTTCCCAAATGAGAAATGGGCAACTCTGTTTATCCTTGACTATACTACTGGTTAAAACTGACACTTTTCCTCCTTCAGCCCCTTCCCACAACCTCACAGATCTGCCTCTCTGTAGAGGATGGGATGGGGAGAAGGGGACTACATAGCCCAGGGAATCTTAGAGAGAAATTGTCAGGAAAAAAATTAAACTATTCATATATTCAAATTGTTAGGGGAAAAATGTTTATAACTTTTCCCTATTTTCTCCAATTTTTTCACTGGGAACTAATTTCCCTACTGGAAGGATATGTTACAAAAACCTCCATAAAATTGATTTGTCGTTTTTTAAAGACTAAACCTAAATTTACTAAGCCATATTCCCAACAGAAATGAGCCACTCCAGGGTATGCATTACTGAGGGTATGTGTACGCTGCGGAGACTATACCAGCATAACCCTCTAGAGTAAACACAGCCTACAGTGACTGAACGTTTTTTTTCTGTCATTGTAGGAACACCACCTCCCTGAACGATGATAGCTACCTCAACAGAAGCATTGTTCTGTCCACATAGCTACATCTACACTGGATGTTATTTCGGCATAGCTACATTGGTCAGAGCTGTGGTTTTTTCATACCCCTGACTGACGTAACTATGCTGATATAACTTTCAAGTGTAGACAAAGCCTAAGCTATTAATTCATGATTCTGGGTGCAGAAGGCACTGGGCCTTTGGCCTCGTGTGTCATAAATAGGGTTGCCAACCCTCCGGGATTGGCCTGGAGTTGCCAGGAATTAAAGATTAATCTTTAATTAAAGATTATGTCATGTGATGAAATCTCTAGGAATTCGTCCAACCAAAATTGCAACCCTAATCACAAAGCACTTTGAGGTGTACACCAAGAGTCTACACCAGTTTCTGGCTAATAGTTAGAGTTTCCAGCCTGCTATGGCTTCACTTGTAAGCTGACTTCTGTAAAGTTTCCATGGCCTAATACAGAAGTTGCATATATAATTTTCCTCTATCCAGTCTGCATTCAACTTAATGTGAGGATATCATAAAGTGTCATGGATCTGATTTTTCCCCATTGCTCTTGGCATAGTCTAATTCCTCAGTCAAGGCTGGATGCGCCATCTCTTTTCACTAACTAGTCAGAGGAGCTGTTTCTAGACAAATGGTTTATCAGTCTTTATTTAAAAAAAAACAATGAAGAGTACTCATGGCACCTTAGAGGCTAGTCTCTCAGGTGCCACAAGGACTCCTCATTGTTTTTGCTGATACAGACTAACATGGCTACCACCCTGAACAACCTGACTTTATTTGTGTCTTTTCTTCCCTTTCTGTTCGTTTTTACACTTTTCTCTGTTTTCTCTTATCGCTTCTGTATTTTCCCCCCTACTGTGTTGTCTCTGATTTCCACTTCTTCCCCGTTGTCTCTCTCATCTCCTCTTTCAGATCCCCGTTTGTGTTGTCACCAATCTCACCAGCTCCTACTTAGATTCTGTCATTGCTTTCCTCCCACTACGGTCTGGGTGCATGGCTCCAATGGATCCACTCTGCTTGGGATTCCCACTGGGACTGCCCCTGAAATCCTCAAGAAGGTGGGAGGGCTGGTCAAAATATCTTGATGTTCGTCCATCCTTATCGATGAAGACCTCAACAACTCATTCTTTCGATGACCGGGCTCTGTGCGTCCGAAGATGACTGATCAGTCCGATTCGGGCGTGGAACGTCCTGTCACACATCGGGTAGACATGTAATGGCACTGTCGATGATGTACGAGCAGCTCTGGACTTGCGCAGGTCACGGTTTTTTTCAGCCTCAGCAATACGCCTCGCCTCAGAGGTATTACTGCCTGTGTGAATGAGGCTGTGCCATGCTGGACGGTTCAGTGCGAAGGTTTCCCATGTGGCGGTGTTGATCTCGAAAGACTTCAAAGAGGTCTTCAGCGTGTCCTTGAACTGCTTCTTTTGTCCTCCATGGGAGCGCTTTCCCTGAGTGAGTTCTCCGTAGAAGAGCTGTTTAGGAATGCGTTCGTCTGACATTCTCACGACATGTCCAGCCCACCTGGTCTGGGCTCTCATCAGCAATGTGTGAACTGACGGCAGACTGGCTCTAGTAAGGACATCAGTATCGGGCACTTTGTTCTGCCATCTGATTTTTAGAAGCTTTCACAGACAGGAAATGTGGAAGTGATTGAGCCTTTGTGCATGACTCCGATAGACAGTCCACGTCTCACAGGCGTACAGCAGAGTTGAAAGCACCACTGCTCGGTAGACCTTCAGCTTCGTTGGTAGGCTGATCCCTCAATGTTCCCAAACGTTGGAGCACAATCGGCCAAATGCAGAGCTGGCTTTAGCAATTCTGCAGTTTACTTCATCATCGATTGACACTGCTCGGGAAAGGGTACTGCCCAGGTACGTGAAGTAGTCCACTGTCTGAAGTCTCTGTCCATTTACAGTGATGGACGGTTCTGGGGCGTGGGGAGCTGGCTGGTGCATGACCTCAGTCTTCTTGATGTTAATGGTGAGACCGAAGTTGTTGCATGCAGTTGAAAACTTGTCCATACTGGCTTGCATTTCCGGCTCTGTACTAGCATTCAGAACACAATCATCGGCAAAGAGAAAGTCTCGAAGTACAGTTTCCTTCACCTTGGTGATGGCACGCAGTCGCCTCAGATTGAATAGTTTCCCATCAGTTCTATACTTCAGGCCTACTCCTTCAGTGCAGTGTTGAAAGGCTTCAGTCAAAGTGACAGAGAATATCATGCTGAACAAAGTGCTAAAACACACCCTTGCTTGACGTTGGTGACTGGGAAGGCCTCAGATGTTTCACCGTCATCCAGGACACGAGCCATCATACCGTGATGAAATTGACGTACCATTCGTATAAATCTGTCTGGACAGCCAAATTTCGACATGATCCTCCACAGGCCCTGGCGACTGACAGAGTCAAATGCTTTCGTGAGGTCCACAAAAGTTGTATAGAGTTCACGATTCTGCTCTTGACATTTCTCCTGTAGCTGACGCACAGCGAAGATCATGTCAAAATATAATACGAACTTTGCTGCAGTTTCTTCATGTGGCAGGAGGGTGTGGTGCACATTGTACCTGCCTGCCACAACCCCATCCTCACCTCCTCCCTAGCCTTGGCTCCACAACCAGTTTCAATACTTAATATTAAATTATTTTAGGCAGGGCTGGTAGCACTCCCTATTACTAAGATTGCCTAACACGAGACATTATACAATCCCATTTTCAGCTCCTTATAACTTTCAAACTTCAACCGTTAGGGCTGAAATTTTCCATGCAGGCTGGTAGGAAAATACACTGGCTTGCAATGTTAACATTCTGTCAACTTCTTCTTTGAGAAGCTTTAGCACCTCCATGCTTTGGAGCAGGGACTTGAAATTTTGCATGGGGAGGTCTGGGTGTCAGGGATGTATCTTTTGATGATCCCCTAAAATCTGCTCAAATTTGACCAAGTTGTCAGTCTTTGAAACTTCACAGTTCACATACGCTCAGTAGAGATGTCATAGAATTTTGCTGCTAAATTCTCCAAAGATTCTGTGCTCACTGAGCATGCTCCCTCCCAGGGCCGGCTCCAGAGTTTTTGCCGCCCCAAGTGGCAGGGAAGAAAAAAAAAAAGCCGTGATCGCGATCGGCGGCAGCTCTACCGCTGCCACTTCATTCTTCGGTGGCAATTCGGCGGCAGGTCCTTCCCTCCGAGAGGGACCGAGGGACCCGCCGCCGAATTGCCGCCGAAGAGCCAGACATGCCACCCCTTTCCGTTGGCCACCCCAAGCACCTGCTTGCTGCTCTGGTGCCTGGAGCTGGCCCTGCTCCCTCCCCTCAGAGCTCATACATGTGTCTGGACTGGGCATGCACCATCCCCACATGGCTGGGCACCTGAATTGAAAGCAGGGATCCTGTGTCTCTTATGCTTTCAATGACTCGCCACCCCCCTATCAGGTGTCCAGGCAGTATGAAGGGGGAAGCCACATGACTTTAATGCAGAGAGGTTGAGAGCAGAATTAGGGGGCACTGGGAGGGGAAGGAAAGGAGTAGATTGGATCAAGGAGCTTGGGGAGACTGATACTGGCTGGGAGGGGAGATGGGGACTGGTTGAACTCAGAGACTGGAGTGGGAACTAGTGACAGAAACAGGGTGGGTTGGGGGAAGCAGGTCTGAAGGGGAGGGAGGAGACTGGAACTGGCTGGACAAGGACACTGAGACTGGGAACCAGTGGGTGGGGGAATGGGGACGGATGGGAGATAGGTCTGATGAGGAGCTGGGGTGTAAAGGCAGAACTGGGACTGGCTGGGTAAAAAGACTGGAGACAAAGAATTGAGGTCGGGGGAACTGGAACTGGCTGGACAAGGAGCCTGGGACAGGGAGCTCTGAGGGAGAGACTAGGATTGCCTGGCCAAGAAGAATGGGACTGGGACAAAGAGCCAGGGGTGGGGAGGACTGAAGAGGAACAGGTTGGAGGGGTCAGACTTGGATTAGGGTGGCGGGACAGAGAGAAGTGTCTGTGACCGTTAAAGGGAACATTCCTCTCCAGAGCGTGGAATGAAACTCAAGATTCCAGAGTCTCACTATTCTTCTGCTGTCAGCAAATATCTGTGAAACCCACTGGAAAGATGCATGTCTCATCTGACTTAGTGCTGGTCCATATAGAAGATGACAACCTACTATTACTATCATTACTCTTAAGAGGCATGTGTCTGTGTGGTGAATCTGAGGGCAGGTCTTCACTACGGGGGGGGGGGTCGATTTAAGATACGCAAATTCAGCTACGCGAATAGCGTAGCTGAATTCGACGTATCGCAGCCGACTTACCCCGCTGTAAGGACGGTGGCAAAATCGACCTCCGCGGCTTCCCGTCGACGGTGCTTACTCCCACCTCCGCTGGTGGAGTAAGAGCGTCGATTCGGGGATCGATTGTCGCGTCCCGACGAGATGCGATAATTCGATCCCCGAGAGGTCGATTTCTACCCGCCGATTCAGGCGGGTAGTGTAGACCTAGCCTAAAAGTTACACTTTGCTGATCAACCACGTGGTGTCAGCATGATGCCACATGATGAAATTTGTTTTTTTCAGTTTGCTTTTTTAAAAAACTAGGAAATTGCACACACAAACACAAACTGCATTAAAAGAACATAGTAAGGTCGTAAAGTCAAACACTCAAAAGTTAGAAAATGCCAATATTAAGGTTGTCTCTACAACCCTTCATTTGGCCCCCCATGTGTGTATTACTCCTGGGGAAATTCTGCACCAAAAAAAATAAAAATTCTGAGCACAGTATTTTAAAATTCTGCAAAATTCTGAATATTTTATTTCTCAAAATAACAATATAATCATGCCAGTTTCAATAATTTTGGTAATTTATTTCAAAATACCTGTCAGCAAGTATGTCTGTAACAATACAGACAAAAAAAAAAAAAGATTCTGGTATTTTTTTTTTTTTTTTACAAATAGATTCCTTACTAGGCATATTAATACAGAATGTTGAGTAATTCATTTAAATTACAATACAGAACTGTATTTCCTGCACCTGCCAGAAGCAATGCAAAGGCTTGGGGGAGTCAGTGGTAATGGAGGAGCTGAGGGAGAGGGAAGGAGCCTGGGAGTGAACCTGGAAGGTTGTTGGGTGTAGGTGGGAGAAGTATGGAATGGGTGCTTTTTTGGGGGGAGCGGCAGGATTGTTAGGGAGTTGGGAAGCCTCCCCCATGCAGACCTTGACTGACCCCAAGTCTCTCCCATTCAGTCAGGCACATCTGCCTCTGTCTCCGCACTCCCTATCCCTATGGGTTTCTGCAGCCTCCTCCCCCATCCCCATGTGTCCCTGCAGTCCCCGTCCCATGTGGCCTTGAACCCCCACTCCCATTCAGCCCCTGGCTTAACATTGTCACCCCACTAGCTCCTGAGCCTGTACCCCAATCCCCCCACTAAACATTCTGAACCCCCAGTGTATGACCCCCAGCAGCCCCATGTGCCCCACTCTGTCTGTCCTAACCTGGCTCTGCAGGCAGGGTGCTGTGATGAACTTCTCCTGGGGGAATTCTGTGGCACTGTGCATGCACAGAATTTTTTCCCCACAGAAAATACATTCTGTCACAGTGCTGCAGTTCTGCTTTTTGCCCGCCAGAGGCCGCTGTGGGACCAGAACTGCATTCATGATGCTAAGTATCAGGGGGTAGCCGTGTTAGTCTGTATCTACAAAAAC